GGTTACTAAACATAAAATATAAAAATCAAGAGAATTGGAGGGGTAAAAAAAATGAGCAAAGAGTCCACCAACTAAACTATCACAACATCACATTTTCTACCAAAAAAAAGGCAAAAAAAGTAAAAAAAAAAAGCAAAGAGTCCACCAACTAAACTCTCACAACATCTAGTGACATTTTTTGCACAAAAAAAAAGCCCCTGTAGAAGCCTTTTTGCCCCTGCCCAGCACCGGCGGATTTAAGCCGGCTGTCACCCCTTTGCCCGTTCTTTTCCTCTAATCATTTCTCCACCGCCGTTCTGATCTCAGGCTCATTTCTAAAGAGAGGACCCCACCAGTATCCCTGACCAAATATCCAGGTAATCTAATTTTGTTGTACTATGATTTATTTGAATAATTTTTAATTTTATTTAGCTTTAGTTTTATTTTTAATTTAGTTTTAATCAGTCAAAGAAATCAAAGTCCGTGATTTGTTATTATTGTGATGATCATTAGGAATAATTTGGTTAATTAGTCACTGTAGAACTGTTGCTTGTTATTTACTACCTTCCATTCTAAGCTCAGGACAGCAATTATTATAAATTTTGTTGTGTTCTTTTTTTTTTTAGTTTTGGTTTGTTGAAATTATATGAAAACCCAATTATCTGGTCGATTTTTTTGTTTGAAATTATCTGGTCGACTTGCAGGGAGAAACAGAGGGGGAAAATGGAACGAAATTGAGAGAGATGGGTATTCCAATCCAAGGTCAAGATTTTCTTTTGGAGCGTGCATTGTTACAGGTTCCCTTTTTCTTTTATTTTATTTTCATCCCTTTTTTTTGGTGTAAATGAACCATTAAGTTTGATTGCTGATTATGGGTGCTGATTTATGTTCCCTCCACTCTTTTTTTTTCCTTTTTTCTTTGTGTTAAAGAATCTGTACCAGCAAAAAGTTTCACCTTGTGATTGTTAAAACTTGTTCAGTGCTTCTTCTCTAGTATGTTTTGTCTTGGAATATGCATCCGTGTAATGTTTAGCTTAGATAGGAGTAAGTATCTCATATTTTCTACTTTTCCCAAAACCCACAGAAACTCATAATTTCTACTTTTCCCAAAACCCACTTCTGTGGGATTCAACTGGGCTTCTTGTTGTGTTGTTGTTGTAGTGCTTAGCTTAGAAGATTGTCTTCTCGTTGCTTTAGATGGATCTGACTTTCATGAGGTAGGGGTATGGTCTGCATACATCTTACTCTCTTTAGACCACACTTCAACGGGATTTACTGGATATGTTGTTGTTATATCCAACTAATGCCAAAGTGGAGAAGGTGGCCATGTTACATGGAATTTTCGTTTAACCTTGAGAACATGTGCATTGGATGGATGTTTGACTCTCCAACATGAGAAATTTTTTGAAAATGAACATGCCACATGGACATGAAAATGTGTTGCATACTTGTAGTCAAGTCCATGTAACATACACATTGGTATATACCTCTATGACTATAGATTCTTGTGTAAGATATTTTTTAAAAAGGTTCCTTTTCAAGTGGCCATAGTTCCAAAATTCCCTTTTGTTCTCTTTCTTTGGTAAATAGTTCTAAGATTCTTTTGGTCAAAGTATGATCAATATAGTTAACTTTACGCAATTTTTTGAAGGCTGTGAATACTCTGACTGAGAAAAGGGAGAGGGTGAGAAGGCTAGGGGAAGGTACAGAGGAAACCAAATTAAGATGTGTGGTCAAGATCAAGATTTGCCTTTGGAGGTTTAATTTCTACAACCTTCCCACCTCCCACTCCCGTTGCCCACTTTTTCATGACTGAATTCACTGCTTTATTTGTCTTCCCTCCTTAAATGATGATTTTGTTGTAGCATAAAAAAATGTCAGAGGCTCTTGTTCTTCAGTTTGGTTGTTGATGATTGCTTGTTATTGCAATGGTTGCCCTTATTATTTCAATTTTTGTGGTTCCTACATTTGTAAAATATCACCCTCTTCTGATGAAAATTTGATCATGACTTGTACTCCATTATGCTCCAGCACATGGAACCTCATAAAGTTGTTGCTTTCTGGATTTTGTGATATATTGGTGCTATACTTTGAAGATTGTCCTCTATGCAAAGTAAACATAGTTGTTATGGACTATGCTGTTTTAGAAGTATATCTTTATTCTAAACATTGCTTATGTCTAACTAGTGCCAAAATGGAGATGTAGGCTATGTTAACTCCGGCTTTCCCCTTGTGTATCCATTAATGTTGGATGTTTGGCACCTAAGATGAACAATAACAAAATTGGTATGGCTCTATAAGTTCTTGTATTACACTTGGGTTTATTATAACATAGGACATGTCTGCATCCATGTTGATTTTGTATGACAGCTTGAGTTCCATTACTGAATTTGCAGATCATCACTCTTATTTCCCTTTTTCTTTCCATTTTTTTTTTTTGGGGGGGGGAGGGGGGGGGTTGGTGGTGGGCGGGTAAGACTGGCCTTTAGGGGGTCTCAGACTAAATATTATGAGCGGAAATAAACCTAGGAAAAGTTAGCAAGCATCACTTAAGGATGTGAACTAGGGGTGCTAAACCATATCCGTATCCGAGAAAATATCCGTAACCATATCCGTTAGGATACGAATATGGTTACTCAAATGTATAACCGATAGGATATGGTTACGGATATGGTTTTGTAGTGAAATATCCGTATCCGTATCTGAAATATCCGAATACATATTAGTCATACTCTTACGATAGTTTCGATTCTTAGATTATTGATTTGTGGTTAATTTTGATAATCAAAATGTCTAATCTTAACTTTTCAATTATAATGGACATATTAACAAACTCTTTTGTATCACATGAACTATGTTTTTCTCAATACTATCTAGTTTTCTCATATATGTTTTGTATCTGCTGCATGCATATCCGCTTATATATCCGCATGTATATCTGTAACCGTATCCGATTTTAGCGGATATGGTTATAAATTTTTCTTACCAAGGTATATCCGTATCCGTATCCGAGATGGGTAAGCGGATATGGATATGATAAGCATCATATCCGAGCCGTATCCGGACCGAATGCACCCCTAATGTGAACCCACAGTATGATGCTCTGGTCGAATCTTTCTACTTGATTGTTGCCATCGTACCTTCTTGAGCTATTTTTTCATTTCCAATGGAGCCAAATGATTTACTTTTCTTTGGCTTTGGATTATAATGGATTATATCAAAATGGCTCATTAAATTGTGTGCACTTCTTTTTTATTGTGAAGATGCAGATAATTTTAGCATTATTAGGGTCTAACGGAAAGTCGGAAACAACCTTCTTTGTATTTATAACACAAGGGTAAGGCTCCGTACATCTGACCCCCCTTACCGCGCCTGGCAGGAGCCTTGCTAGAGGCGCTAGAGGCAATGGGGTAATGTTGTTGTAGTAGTAGTAGTAGTTGTTGCTGTTGCTGTTGTTCATTTTTAAGAAAAAGTTTACGGCTGTCGATTTTGGGATTTTGCACTCATTCGGCAAAGTTCTACTGGACAAAGTATTAACTTCAAGTTAATACCTTGTTGGCAAAAGAATTAGGGAAGCAACTTTTGAAACTGTTCTTTTAAAAAAAAAAAAAAAAAAAAGTGGCTGCTGCTGATTGAGTCAATGATATTTGATATTGGCTTTGCTCCTGGTATGTGACAATAGAGTGGTATGTCCATTATTCAAACACGTGCTTGCTCTTGTATCTTCTACTGTTTTATATCTCTTTGCGTTAGCTTCTGTATTGTCTGGAGAACTTGAATAATTTGTTACCTGCTCTGGATTTGTTTCATATCCTCAGAGGAAAAACAGTGAACTATATACAGGAGATGGCTCTGTTGATATCCAAGGGAAGCCTGTCTTGAGGAGCAAAACTGGAAAATGGAGAGCCAGCTCCTTCATCCTAGGTGGGTGCATCATCATTTCTGATCACAATCTTGAATCTGGCANTTTGTTCTTGCTATACAGGTACTGAATGTTGTGAGCGTGTTACCTACTTCGGTATTGTGACTAATCTTGTCAGTTATATCACCAGCATATTGCACAAAGGAAATGTTTCTGCTGCAAGAAGTGTTAGCACCTGGAATGGAACATGTTATCTTACGCCACTTGTTGGAGCTTTCTTAGCAGATGCATACTGGGGAAAATACCGGACAATTGCTGTGTTCTCCTCAATTTACTTCATCGTAATCATTGGACTGGCTTTGTTCACTCATTAATTGATAATTTATTTCTTCATCATAGACTACTAGATTAGGTATAAGATATTAATTTCAGTTGTCACTAGTCATATCTGATTGAACATGTTCAGGAACCTTTTAAGCATGCTCATTAGACTACTTGGGAACCTTTGTAGCTTGCTCATTAGGTGTAGTTCTTCAGCTATGTTTTAATATACCTTTTCTACTGGTAACATGCATAGAAGTTTAGATTGTGTGCTATAACCTTTCTCCAAATGTATTTCTTCCATGGAGGAAATCAACTCCTTTACTTTTTATTTCCTCTAACCGAAGAAACAGTGATATTTTAATTAGTTAACGTGTCTCTTACTTTAGGTACTGACGAACTTTATTATTATTATTATTATTATGTGGCTCTGATTGTTTGATGTTTTTCCCCCCTCTAAGGATACTATGGCTTTTGGTGCATGAATTAGATTATTATCAGGGAGATCTTATCACTAATTTAGATGAATTTTTGTTAATATATAGTTGTGTTACCCAGTAACTCTTTTGTTTATCAATATTTGGTTAGATCGTGTTATCTGGTGTCATTCTGGTTTGAGTGCTCAACTTTGATTTGGCCCGAGATGCTTTATGTCTTATTATACATTAGGGGCTCTTATTCTTTGTTTGGACCTTTCATCAGTCTATGAATATGCAGTTGCTAAGGACCCTTATTCTTGGTTTGGCTATTCTCATCTGTCTATGAGTGTACACTGACGGAACTGTAAATCAGCTTCTTTGAAACTCTAACTTACCTTGCTTAGGTTGTATCTGAAATGATCATCTGAACTTGTAATTACATTTTCTTGTATGGGTGATGACTGTGATCTATCACAATAGTCGACTGGCCTTGTCTTTATTACAATGATTATTACTTCGATAAATGGCGAGCCTTGCTTTGTCATTGGAAATGATGGGTGACAACCCCTTCACCCTATTAATTCTAATCCTCTCTCTTGACATTATTCTTATCTATTGTAGGGGATGTGTACTTTGACTATATCTGCTTCAATTCCTGCGTTTAGGCCTCCCCAATGCCTGGGTCTAACTTGCCCTTCAGCTACTCCAGCTCAGTCTGCAATATTCTTTGTGGGCCTCTATCTAATAGCTGTAGGGATGGGAGGAATTAAGCCATGTATTTCATCTTTTGGTGCTGATCAGTTTGATGATACCGATCCTAGAGAGAGGGTAGCAAAGGGGTCCTTCTTCAATTGGTTTTTCTTCTTTATGTACATTGGTGCACTTTTATCTAGTAGTCTTATTGTTTGGATCCAAGAAAATGTTGGGTGGGCCGTAGGTTTCGGGATTCCTGCATTATTCATGGGACTGGCTGTGGCAAGTTTCTTTTCTGGAACTCGTCTCTATAGATTTCGATTACCTGGAGGAAGCCCAGTAACAAGAATATCCCAGGTGGTTGTTGCGTCATTGCGTAAGTGGAAATTTGTGGTCCCACAAGATAGTAGTCTCTTATATGAAACTTCAGATGAACATTCAGCAATTGAAGGAAGTCGAAAGCTAGGGCACACCGATGGACTAAAGTAATTTCTAGGCGCTCTTCTTCATGTGATGCGTTCTTTTCCAGAAAAGTTTAAGAAACTTCCATTGGAGGAATTTTCAAAACAATTCCGTTTACACTTTTAATCCCCAAAAAAGACCCGTTTTTAACTTAATTTCAAAAACCGACCTAGTTTCAGCCTCAGTGCTGTCAGTTTCTGGAAAAAACTTTCCGAAACTTCACGGGAGTTGAACTTCCGTGAAGTTTAGTAAACTTTACTAAACTTCACGGGAGTTCAACTCCCGTGAAGTTTCATAGTTCAAAAATTCAAAAAAAAAAATTTGAACTATGAAACTTCACGGGAGTGGAACTCCCGTGAAGTTTAGTAAAACTTACTAAATGAACTCCCGTGAAGTTTCGGAATCTTTTTTTTCAGAAACCGACCTGGTTTCAGCGCTGAGGTTGAAACCAGGTTAGTTTCTGAAATTAAGTTGAAAACGGGTCTTTTTTTGAGATTAAAAGTCCAAAGAGGACTGTTTTGAAAATTTGTCCAACTTCCATTATGTTCTGCTTTGATCTCAGTGACTTCGCTTGTAGGAGATCAGTAACCATCTTGTATCTATTAGGGTATTTGTCTGATTCAGAAATGAACAGTTGTGATTTTTCCAGCCCTTGGAGGTTGTGCACCGTAACTCAAGTGGAAGAATCGAAGATCTTGATCCGCATGTTCCCTATTTGGGCAACTTCCATTTTCTTTTGTGTTGTCTATTCCCAGTTATCAACAACTTTTGTTGAGCAGGCAAAGGTCATGGACAGAACTGTTGGATCTTTCACCATCCCTGCAGCCTCCTTATCGGTTTTGTATGTCATGAGCGGTATGGTTGGTGTCCTGGCTTATGACAAGATTGTTGTACCTATGATTAGAAACTTCACCGGCAGGGAACGGGGATTCTCGGAGCTTCAGAGAATTGGTATTGGCCTCTTCATCTCCTGCCTTGCTATGGTAGCTGGTGCCTTGGTGGAGAGCAGACGTTTGCAGCTGGCGAAGGAACTGGATTTGGTTGACAAAAATGTTGTGGTCCCACTTAAGTTCTATTGGCAAATCCCACAATATTTCTTGGTGGGGTGCACGGATGTATTCAGCTTCGTGGGAGCTATGGAATTTTTCTATAATCAGTCACCAGATGCCATCAGAAGCTTGTGTGTTGCACTACCTCTGCTGTTAACCTCGGTGGGTAGTTACTTGAACTCTCTGATTCTGACCATTGTGGCTGCTATTACGACTGCTGGTGGCAAAGCCGGGTGGATACCAGACAATATGAACCAAGGGCACCTTGATTATTTTTTCTGGCTCTTGTCTGGTCTCAGCTTCTTGAACTTATTGATGTATGGCTTCTGCTCCATGAAGTATAAACCAAAAAAGGTTCTATGATAACCCTGTTCAAAGAACGTCTGAAGCGATCGGACAATTTCACAGTTATAGTGGTTGTATGATAAATAACGTGGGAGATTTCAGGTTTCCATCCAAGGAAGTGTCTAGGTTGTAACATACATCTGTTTATGCTCTTCTGTCTCATGATCTACTACAGAAGGCAAGTGGTGGTTATGTATTTTGTCCGTAAATATATCATTCCAAGATCAAAATTGTCCACTGTTTTTATATGTGCTTGTTCTTTGAAGCCCGGGGATTTTACTTTATGCTCTGCCCTAGATCTAGCAACTTAGACCTAGCACTAGTTTTTCATCATTTGTTCCAAGTCTTAGTTATCAGATCCACTAAAACTTCCACGGTCTACCGGGTTTATACATATCGGGATTATTGGATTTTTGGAATATGTTGTGGAACTGGAGTAAATGCTCACCACATAGTGCACCACTGGAAGTTCCTTCATAATAAAGGAAATAAAAGAAAATGTTAATACTTTTTTGCTGACTAGTTAAGATATTGTAATAACTAGGTGGAGTGCACGTGCACTACACGTGGTCAAATATCATAATTATTTAATTTAAGTTTATTTATTTACTATAACATTGTTGCATAAAACTTTATAATTATCATGATATATTAAATATTTTTGGATGTTTCCATGTGTGCTTTTAACATTTTGTCTTCGAGAGAAATATTGATGTTTAAAGCCTTAAAATATTAATGATTTTAGATCAATTAATATTTTGAATGTATAATTTCAAAATATTAATGATGTAACGGACCAATACGGAAAAAACCTATTAATTATTATTAATGAAAAAAATAAATTCTTGAATTCATTACAGAAAAATGGTAGCTTTTATCTAGTCAAGGATTTCATTTAGTTATAAAAAAATTACTTCCACATGTTATGTACTTCCACCTATTGTTTATGTGGCGATCGAGTATTATAGATATTCAAAAACTTTTTTCTAGATCTTTTTAGGTTAGAATGTGCAAACTCAATCAAGAAAGAAAATATAAATTATGTGATCAATTTCAAAATCTGATGTTGTACTCTTTTTACATTTTCCCAACTACTAATTGATCTGTCAATACGATTACTCTCTAGTTTTAGAAAATCATAAAATATAGTTTGAGAAAGATTTATACATATTATGCACTCATCTTGATTGTATTTTAACAAAATAATTTATATCTATCCAATGTAAAACTACATCCAAAAATTTAGGTTAAGGACTTAGAAGAATACAATATCTGCAATAATATTCATATCCAAGCTATAAGCTCCATAAACTTATAAGAAGGTAAAATGACAATTTAATTTATTTTGTCAAATAATTTATTACAAATCATGAAAGACAAGGGAAATCAAAAGGAACACATACTCATCCCAAATAAATATTAAATTATTTTTAGATATTCATATAGTAAAAGATTTTCAGAGTTGATGTGTAAGACAAACTTAAGGACAAATAACCAAAACCAATTCATTGAGTGATAGACTTACTATAAACTCAACTCTTATAAATTGATGTCACACGTGTCTGAAGTTGTACTTTTGTTGTTGTACTTTTGTTTAAGGGTTAAATTTAGAAAACTCCCCCTCAACTATGGGGGCATGTCAATCCCCCCCCCCCACCCACCCACCCACATACACATTATTTAAAAATATGTAAATCTCCGCCAAGTTTTGGGTGTTTTGTAGATAATCTATCTCAACTTAAAAAATTTTGATTTAACCCCTGTGCACTTTTCTCACTTAAACCTAACCTCTCAAAACAAATATCATTGATTCTTACCTATTATGTACAAGTATTTGACTTGAAAAGTCCAAAATATTAATCAATCATAAAAGAATTACCTTGATTTTTGCCATATGAAGAAAAAGAGGTGATATAGAGAAAAAAAAAGAATTGTAAATTGGTTATGGTCCTTTTATTATCAGTTAAGGATTTCTTTTTAATTAAAATCGCTTTTTTCAAGAGGGTATTTTGTTCAAATCACATACTGAAGTAACTATGTTAAGGAGGTTTGTTGATAGAAGTGTTAAAGATTATGGGTGTTTTTATGAGACACGTTATAGTTGAGAGATGTTGTCTAAAAATTGCACCAAAATTAAGAGGGTTTATCTATAACACCCCCCATAATAAGAGGGTTTTGTCAAATTGAATCAATTGAGTGGTTTTTTAAGACAATCCCCATAGTTGGGAGAGTTTTTAAAAATTAACTCTTCTTTTAAATATGACTTATTTATAATTTGTCCCTCAAAACTTTAATAATTTAATATTAGTCCCTAAAATTATGAGCAATTTCAAAATTTTGAGGGAATAATATAGAATCATTGGATACTTAAAATCAAGGAACTAATATCTAAATAACCTTTACATATTTGCTCTTATAGACATTCTATTAAATATCAGCCAATATATTACTATATCGGCCAATATATCGGGTTAAAGACTTTATCTTGGTTATATTTTTATATTATTTTCTTTTGTTTGATGATTTTTTTTATATATTGATTGTCATTGAAAATATGGCCAATATATCCCTTTGAAGATATCGAGAAAATCATGCCATTTTTTATTTGATTGTGGGCTCAGCTTCGGATTGTTTTTGCGAAGGAAAGTCGGAACCCATAAAACCCACAATGGACACAATTCTTCTCCCAAATCTCTCCACTCCCGGCTCTCCCAAATCTTATGAATATGTCTTGATGCAAATTCTTATGTTTAAATTTTATTAATATGTTAGGTTACAATGTCATGTTATGTATGAATATTATCTCATATAACACCGAGTATTACATATATATTCTTGATTTTTACAATCCGATATCATGGATTTTATTTGTTCAATATTTATTTGATGTCCAACATTTTATAGTAGTCCTTCAAAAGCCACTTCCAAAATTTTCTAAGCGAAGTATATAATTCAGGAAACAATTCAAAATCTTGGGACTCATTCAAAATATGATGCTGTAATTTTTTCACATCTCCTCTACTATATAAATATAAGCTAAGCATCTGGCTGGTCGTGAACAAACAGTCGATGGGGGTCTCCACCATAGGATGCACTTTTGATCCTGACGGCGCTGAGGACTGAGGAGAGGATGAATGCTGGGGTCGACTCCTCCTCTGACTTTACGCTCGACCCTTCCACTGGAATTCCTGATCTTTCTGTACAAACTAGAAGAAAACCTTAGGAGGGTGGGGACCGTTTCCCCCGTGCTACCTCCGACGATCAAGTCAGTTTGAGAGCTTGAGTGGGGTTTGAGGGAAGGTCCTTGGGCCATTGAGGTCCTTGGAGTATGCTCTTTTCAGAGTTTTTAAGTTTAGAAAAACATCTTCCCTTCCGATTCTTTGCTCTCCACCTTTTACAGTCCCTTGTCTTTGAGAGGTTGACTCTTGGCTTGGACTATGCACTGGAGGCGGCTGAAGGGTGAGCAGTAGGGCTGCTGAGTCATCCTTCTTCTTTTAGATGTTGGCTGGTGATTGGAAGAGAAGTCACTCAAATACATGAGAGAAATGGTTTCTCAGTGTCCTAGACTTGTCAGATGAGGCAGGGCGTAGGATAGGTCGGCTGCTTGGCCGTCCTTCTCTCTCCAGGTGGTGACTGGCGAATGGAGGAGATGTCACTCGTGCACAAGAAAGCATCATGGCGATCTATGGGAAGTGACTTGTAAGTATAATATGCGACTTGGGCACGAGGCTTGTCAGAATGGAAATCTTGATGGGATCAATCACTACTGTTGTTTGGATATTGTAATATCTACCAAGAAATTTCTTTCAGCACAGTTCAACATGAAGGACCTTGGAACTGCGGACGTGATTCTCGGAATCAAAATCATATACTCTGAAGAGGGTATTGGATTATCTCAATCTCATTATGTCGAGAGCATGCTAAGGAAGTATGTCTACTACGACCTGCCAGAACTGTCAGTGCCTTATGATTACAACAAGAAGCTTCGACCGAACACTGGAAGACCAGTAGAGCAGCTGAGGTACTCAAAGATCATTGGGAGTCTTATGTACGCGATGAGCTGCACAAGGCCAGATATAGCATTCCCTGTAGGAATGCTTAGTAGGTTCATAAGTAATCCTAGAAAGCTTCATTGGAATGCTGTCCAAAGATTGATGAGATACTTAAAAGGAACTACAGGTCTGAGCCTATTCTACACTGGATATCCGGATGTAATCAAAGTCTATTCAGATGCGAGCTGGTGCTCAGAACCAGATGAGTGCAGATCTACTGGAGGATTTGTCTTCACCATGGGTAGAGCTGCCGTCTCGTGGAAGTCTAAGAAGCAGACCATGATTGCACAGTCATCGATGGAATATGAATTCTTCACACTCTGTGTTACAGGAGATGAAGCTGAGTGGCTCAGTTGTATTCTCCGAGACCTTTCATTGACGGAATTGCAAGATGCAATTACTATCTATTGTGATAATCAGGCGGCGAGTGCTGTGGCAGCAAACTCAATATTCAATGGAAAGAAGCGGACCATTCGTCTGAAGCATGGCTATTTGAGAGAGCTCATTTGTCAAGGAGTCATCTCTGTGATTAACGTCTGAACTTCAAAGAATGTGGCTGATTCTTTGACTAAGGGTCTGAAAAAGGATATAGTCGAAAGGACGTCTGCTGGAATAGGTCTCAAAGTTTTGTAAGTCTTACAAATACTTACCATGTTTATTGAATTATTAGTTCAAAGCTTATGCTACTAATAATAAAATAATCGGTTCAAAAGTCAAGTAAGATTTGCAAAGTTGGTAGTCTTATAAATATTTACCATTTACATCAAGTTATTAGTTCAAAGCTTATGCTACTCCTGACAAGATAAATGGTTCAAAAGTCAAGTAAGATTTACAAGTGAAAGGATTTAAGTTTTCTTGGATTAGTCGGTGTCTAAGGCAAGGTTTGGGGGTTGCATAACGCACTCCGCAAGGAACGAGGTACTTAATTGATCTTTGATCAACCTCTAATACTATCCTTACCTGGCTGAACTACCCGAGTAAAACTTTGATCTTTTCACTTAGAATCCTATCATGTAAAGGGGATGGCTGTTAAGCCTTAATGAGTCTAAAACATTTCGGATGCGGGGTGTTAGATAGGAAACACACCTAAAGGACTTACTTAGAATCCTATCATGAGAGAGGGTGGCTCTTAAGCCTTAATGAGTTCAAAGAATTTCGGATGCGGGATGTTTGATAGGAAACATACCTAAAGAA